CCACTCACCTCAGCCTCCCAAAGGCACGGGATTACAGGCTGAGTCACCGAGCCCGGCCTGATTTATTTATAAGAGGTCAAAAATAAATTGCAGCCAGGTGCAGCAACTCATTCCTGTAATCCCAGCACTTTGGGAAGCCAAGGCAAGAGGATAGCTTGAACCCAGAAGTTTGAGACCAGCCTGCAAGACTGCAAGACTTTCATATCAAAAATGAAAAAAATTAGTGGAGCACGGTGGTATTTGCACGTAGTCCCAGCTACTTAGGAGACTGAGGTGGGAGGATTGCCAGAGCTCAAGAGATCAAGGCTGCGGTGAGCTGTGATCATGCCACTGCATTCCAGCCTGGGCGACAGAGGAAGATCCTAATTAAAAAAAAAAAAAATTAGCCAGGCATGGTCGTGCATACCTGTAGTCCTGGCTACTGAGGAGGCTGAGGTGGGAGGATCACCTGAGTCCAGGAGGGTGAGGATGTCGTGAGCTGTGATCATTCCACTGCACTCCAGCCTGGGCAACAAAATGAGACCCTGACTCAAAAAAAAAAAAGTCATTTGCAGATGCCAGTGCTTCGATGGTCAGCAGAGTACTTGAGTCTCTCTCTGGCATGTCCCACTGTACTCAAGAAGAACCTTGCACCTGGTCCCTTCTCCCAGCCAGGGCAGAGCCTAAGAAAGTGGCCCTCCAGCCAAGTTTTGATTGTCCCCCATGACAGGAGACTCACTGCTGCCGGAGGCCGCCCTGTGGCAGTTAACTTTTCTCAGTCCAACTGAAACAGGCTCCCTTGACGTGCTGTGGATGACCGTAAGGCCATGCATCCTTCCTTCTTTGCTTCTTCCTAGAATATGTCACATTTCTGACGGTTACTCCCAACATGACCAGTGTATACATCACCAACCGCAGGCCTCTCTTTACACACTTAGGTGAGTTGACCAGGGGATGCCCATCCCAAGTTAGCCAAGTTGGAAAGGTTGAGAGCATGGTCCCCATGATGCCCTCGCTTCTGACATCCACTGCAAGTTCAGGGAGTTCCCCAAAGCACCCTCAGGTTTGATAATCAACTGAGAAGACTCCCAGAGCTCATTGAGAGCTGTTCTGCTCAGCTACGGCTCATTCTAGGGGAAGAATACGGGCTAAAATCATCCCAAGGAAGAGACATGTGGGACAGAGTCTGGGAGGGCTATAAACGTGGAACCAGACTGGGTATGGTGGTTCTTACCTATAATCTCAGCACTTAGGGGGCTGAGACAGGAAGATTGCTTGAGCCCAGGAGTTTGAGATCAGTCTGGGCAACGTAGCGAGGCCTTGTCTCTACCAAAAAAATATGAAAAAAAAATTATCTGGGCGTGCTGGTGCACACCTGTAATCCCAGTTACTTGGGAGGCTGAAGAGGGAGGACTGCTTGAGCCCAGGAGTTCAAGACTGTGATAAGCCATGATGGTGCCATGGCCCTCCAGTCTAGGCTACAGAGTGAGACCCCCGACTCAAAACAAAACAAAAAATGTGGAGCCACATATCAGGGATGTGGTACTCTTCCAACATTGGATCATGACTGTACACACGGGGTGTTGACTACCCAGAAAGTTCACCTGAATTGATTTTCAGAGTCCTTACTGGGGCTTTATTACATAGATGCGATTGATTGATGGATGGATTGATTGCTCATGAGCATAATCTCGGTCTCCAGGTGACCCAAAGCCCCGCCCTGAGTCACATAGTTGGTCTTTTTGGCATGCCAACCTCTGCCTTAAACAAAGACTCTTCTATCTGGTGTGATCTGCATTCCCTCTCAGAAGCTATCAGCAAGGGCCAGACTTGTCTTTAGGCGAGGTCGACTTCTTTGCCAGAGCGGGTCTTTGTTTCTAAAGGGTGCCCACCTCTAACCTTTGTTTTTATTTTTTAATTTAAAAAAACTTTTTAGCCTGAGCCTGTGGTTTCGAGACCAGCCCAGGCAACTTGGTGAGATCTAGTCTCTACAATAAATCAAAAAATTAGCCAGGCATGGCAGTGTGCACCTGTAGTTCTGGCTACTTGGAAAGCTGAGGCGGAAGGATCACCAGAGCCCAGCAGGTCATCGCTGGGGTGGCTGTGAGTGTGCCACTGCACTCCAGCCTGTGCGACACAGTGAGATTCCAACTCAAAAAAAAAATTTTTTTTTTAAAGAGATGAAGTCTTACTGTGTTGCCCAGACTGGTCTCCAACTCCTGGACTCAAGCGATTCTCCCACCTCAGCCTCCCAAAGTGCTGGGATTATGGGCTTGAACCACCACACCTGGCCGTGACCTTTGAATCCTGGGTTATGGGCGCTTGCCTTGAGGTCCTTGAGCCTTGAACCTGTCTGTTAAGTTCTCTGTGTGAATGCACTTGGTAGGGGAAGCAGATCACAGCACTTACCAGCTTCGCCAAGAGGTACAGAGCCATGGCTGGGGGAAGCCTTCTGTGGTCAGATAGGTGCAGCTCCCGAGAGGTGGGCTGGGGACCCTAGGGAGAGGACAGGGACTGGGCCATGGGGATGATAATTCTGTTGCTCCCAGCCCTGTAGTCGTCTTCACCCCTTCCTTAACCCAGGACCTCTGGAAGGGAGAGGTCCCCACCTCCAGCAGGTGTGTGAGTTTTGGTAAAACACCCCTGTGAGGAGGGTGGGCGCCCACCCACCCCACGGGACTAACAGCCTTATTGCCCCCAGCGGTGAGGATTGGAGGGCGCTACGTCGTGGCTGGTGACATGAGCATCTCCCCAAGCACCACCTACCCCTCCCTCCTGGAGGACAGCCGTGTTGAGTACAGAGTGACCCTCACCAAAGACCGGCTGCCCCACCTCGAGGAGGTCCACATCCGGGGACCCTTCCGGGAAGACATCGAGATCCAGGTCACCAGGAAGGCCTGAGGGGAGACCATCGGGGGCTTCCTTTTGGAGGCTGTGGCTGTGTGCTCACGCTCATCCATTCATTCACTGAGTCCATCATTCCTTCGGTGGCACTTTGGGAGGCTGAGGCGGGAGGATCCCTTGAGCCCAGGAGTTTGAGATCGGCCTGGGCAACATAGCAAGACCTCGTCTCTACTAAAAATCCAAAAAGTAGCTGGGAGTGGTGGTGTGAGCTTGTAGTCCCAGCTACCCAGGAGGCTGAGATGGGGGGATTGCCTGAGCCCACGGGTTCAAGACCAACCTGGGCAACTTGGTGAGACCTCATCTCTACAACAGATCCAAAAATTAGCTGTGCATGGTAGTTCCAGCTACTTGGAAGGCTGAGGCGGAAGGATTGTTTGAGCCCAGCAGCTCGAGGCTACAGTGGCTATCAGCGTGCCACTGCACTCCAGCCTAGGAGACAGAGTGGGACTCCAACTCAAAAAAAAAAAAAAAGACAGGAAGAATGAGAAGAATGAAAAGTTGGGAGGTTTTCCTGAGGAGGTGGCCGTGACAGCAGCCCTCAGGGAGTTCCCCCGACACAGCCCCAAGCTCTCCATCTGTCTATACAGGTTTACCGGCGATATGGAAAGGAGTATGGCAACCTCACCTGCCCAGACATCATCTTCACCTACTTCCAGCCTAAGCCGAGGGGGGCCTTGGAGTGGGCCGCTGTGCGTGGGCCCTGCTCGGTGAGCTGTGGGGCAGGTGAGGCCCAAGGAAGGCTGGCCTGCAGCATGGCTTGCCCTGCATGGAGGTGGCCTAGCCCTCTGTCTTCCTTTCCAGGGCTGCGCTGGGTGACCTACAGCTGTCTGGACCCAGCTGGGAAGGAATGGAAGGAGGCCACCTGGTGTCAGGGAAGCCCGCAGCCACCGGCGTGGCCAGAGGCCTGTGTCTCCACGCCCTGTCCCCCATAGTGAGTGCAGAACTGTCTGTGCGGCTCCTGTGGGGAGGGTGGGGGACCTGCCAGGGCCACTGGGCCCTCACCCTGGCCTTCAGGGGCCGCGGAGCCTGGGAGAGGCTGAGCATCTTCTGCGTATGGTCTCATTAGTCCTGACGATGACCCTGGTAGGTGGGCTTGTAAGTGCCCCCATTTTGCAGGCTAGGACACTGAGACTCAGTGCAGACACGGTGACGGTGTCAGCCCAGTGTGACCTGCACCTGTCGCCACATTGTCTGGGCAACCCAAGGTCTCTCTTGAGCTCAGGTGCTTATGATGAGATAGAGCTGATCACCCTGCTGGAGGTTTGTAGGATGACTTGTATGGTGGAAGGGACCTGGCCATTGCTGGCACCTGGCAAGGGCAAAGTGTTAGGCATGAAGCCATCCCTGGGGGGCGCAGGACTGGGGCAGTCACCCGCCAGCACTGCTACGCAGCTGTCCTCAGGCTCAGGTGTCTGTCAGGGCAGCTTGGTCACACCCAGAGAGGCTGGGCTGACTTTATGTGCATGGCGTTCATGTCTCTGCAGGGACACAGGGCTTGGCCCAGACCAGGGGAGCATGTCAGCCAGAGCTGGCTGGACAGACCTGCCTACCTCCTACCCTGTCACCCCGAGCCTGCCTGGGGACCTAACCAGGGTTTGTGTCTGTCCCTCCTCAGCTGGGCAGCTGGAAACTTTGGCCCATGCAGCGCCTCCTGTGGGGGAGGCCTGCGGGAGCGGGCAGTGCACTGTGTGGAAGCCCAGGGCAGCCTTTTGAGGACGTTGCCGCCGGCCCGGTGTGGAGGGGGGGCCCAGCAGCTGGCCTCAGAGGTGGAGACCTGCAACTCCCAGCCCTGCCCTCCCAGGTGAGCACAGGGATGGGAGGGGCTGGGCAGGACCTCCCTTGGTCGACCCCTCCTAACTGTCCCCTTTTCTGGAGGCTTCTGGGTGGCCCCCACATCCTGGGTGATGGGCAGTGATACTTGGTGGTGAAGAGTGACAGCTTCAGCATCACTTACTACCCAAGAATCCCTGGGCCGGTTGCTCCCCAATCTGAGCATCCGAGCCCCTGCTGTGACAAGGGCCTGCTTGTGGAAGGGACAAGGTCAAACCGTGAATGTAAAGTAGCAGATGTCACTTTGTCATCACAGTCATCTTTTCCATGGTGCCCATGTGGCCACCTCTCTTCCCTTCTGTGTCCAAATTAACAATGGCTTCTCATTCTGCCTTGCCACTAACTGACTGGGTGACCAGGCCAACCCCCTCCCCCTCAGTTTTGTCATCTGTCTATTGGGGAGGGGGTTGGCCGAGATCACTGGTGGCCCACTCTTGGCTCTGGGCTCCTTTGCTCCTCTCTTGTCCTTGTCAGACACAGCAATCATCACTCTGATGTGGCCTCAGAATTTTTCTCAACACAGTTCTTGCAGGCAACCCCCCTCCCCTGCCCCAGGGTTGACATGCCAGTGAAACCCACTGGCCATCTCTGAACCTGGTGGTCTGACCCCACATGGTACCTGTTTCTCTGCTATGGTGCATGGAACCTGTCTTTGTCTGGTTGGAGGTTTACCTCTGCCTCTGGAAGGTAGGAGGGATGGGTTTTCTTCCTGCACCCTGGGAATAGGTGGTGCGTCTAGCCCTGAGCAGATGGCTTGTTCACTGGGAACCTGATGGTTCAGGAATGAAGCTGTGAACCCGATGCCTGAAGGAAGACCCCGAGCTTTGCTTCCTTGTGGGCCTCCTCTTTGGACTCCTAGGTATTGGGGAGCAGATCTACTGCCTGGTCCAGGAGCGGAGCTGCACCTGTTGCCACATGGCATTGGCTGTAGTTGCTCCATGGGTCCTTGACTTGCCGCAGGAAGGAATTTCAGAGTGAGTTGCAGCGAGAGTTTTAAAGTACAGTTTATTAAAGAGAGAGAGAGAGAGGAAAAAAGGCACGTTCAAGAGATAATACAGGTGGCGTTAAGGGAAGGGGCACAAGCTCACCGTTAGCAGAAAGTTTTACATATATTGTCCAAAATGGTGCTTAAGCAATCTGTTTTCTAAGTTAAGATTTGTGGGCTATGTGGGTTATAACAAGCTGTTGATCACAAATTTCAATTCTTATCATTTCACTCCTAAGTTTAAGTATGTCAAGAGGAACTTTTGAGATAATAGGAAAAGTTGCTGTTTAGGTAAGTTTTCTCTTAGAACACAGTACCTCAGTGTCCCCAGTGACTCCCTGCTGTAGTTTTTGGTCTTTGTAATCAGCCACTCCATAGTGGGTCTGAGATTCAGTCAGTGTATACTTGTTTAAAAGAGTTATGCAACTTGGCGAGACCACTTCTCTACAATAAATTAAAAAATCAGCCGGGTGTGGTAGCACATGCCTGTAATTCCGTCTACTTGGAAGGCTGAGGCGGAAGGATCACCAGAGCCCAGCAGGTCGAGGCTGC